ATCCGTGAGCCCACGTGCTTAGCGCAATCCTCCTCCCTTTGCAGAGTGGCATAAAAACACGTGTGCCACCAAAGCTGCTCCAAAGGCTCTATTTTGATTTCAGGGTGTGAGCGCTCGCTCCGCGGCCGCGCCGCGGTGCTGCCCCTGCGCGCACCAGCCCCGCGCGAGCAGACACGATCCCCATTTCCTCGCGGGGGCTTTGCGTTCACGGGCAGCCCGCACCGGCAGTCCCGGGGCGCGGCGGGAGCCTCCCGCCCAGCAGGCAGCGGGAGCGCCGAGACGGAGCAGACGGCGACAGTATTTGATGACAGCGGGAGGCCGGGAGCAGCACAGAGTGGGCAGGAGGAGCCCGCAGAGCCCAGTATGAATATAAATGTTTTCATGGGAAAAGAAATCAATTAAGGCAGATCTGGGGGGCTCGTTTAAAACCTTCCTTCTGTGTCAGTGCCCTGCCAGCGCCGCATGTTTGCACGTGGGAACCAAAGGCGATGCTGGACTCTGCACCAAAATCAGTGATAGGAAAACAAGGCAAAACAAGTCAAAACAAACCCAAAACACATTTAATTGCATTAGCGAGACAGAGAGAGATAGGCGATTTAATAGATTTCTCTTGCTGGGTTGCTCAGAGCCAGCCCGGCAGCGTGCGGGGGAAGAGCCCGCGGCTCCGCAGCATCCGCCGGGCCGGGCCGCAACGACAGGCTGGATTTCGTGCTCCCGTGTGAGAATTCACCAGGCTGCCTCGGAGACGCTGCAATTACCGCGTTTCTGAGTACATCACAATTGATAGCTCTAATGGCGTGGCTGTTATTATGCAGGCACAAAAAACAGCAGCGTCAATTCAGAGTGCCTAAAAATGAGCGTTTGCCCAGTGCGTGCAACGCTTTGCGCAGCCAAACCCGGCGAAATGTCGTCAGGTGCCTAAGAGGACCAGAGTCCGTGCTGCAAACGGCCCTGCCACGGACTCTGCAGCTTGTGCCAGCATTCCTGGAGGGACCCCCCATTCCCACTCCGCAGGAGTTATTCTTGCAGTCTTTTAAGTCTCTTTGGTAATTAATGAGCTCTGACCCTCGCCCTGTGCGGCGGGGTCTGCGCTGCAGCGGACGAGCCGACAGGACCCGTTTGCTGTAGTTGAAGCAGGAAGGTTTGGGCTGCAGGGCTCCCGGGAGGACTGGGTAGGAGCCATGGTGGTCATGGCTTTGTGCTCCCAGCTCCAAAGACACAAGCCACGTATTTTGGCATCACACAGCATTTTAGTATCTTTGCATAAAAAGACCCATCTTCGGCACTGGCAGGGGCGTTTGAGAAGTTCTAACACGGCAGGAAGGCTCCTGGGAATGACGGGGAGAGGAGGGAAAGCGCGAGGATGCCAGGAAGGGCCGAAGCCAACGTGCTGTTGTTCTTTCTCCACGTAGCGTGTCTGCAGCAGGCCAAGAGCACCCAAAACCAACCACGGATCCCACCGGCGCGGCAGGCGCGCGCGCTCCCGACACGGGCTGCGAGATCTGCTGACCGAGTAGCTCCACGGGAGAGCCAGGCTTTGCGGCACTCTCATTCTGAAAACCAAAGCTTCACATTGAATAGCAGTCAGCCTTTCCGCAAGATTATTTGCCATTGCCCTCCTGGTAATTTATTTTCTGCATAATTACTGTGTTTAATGATTCTCCACATGCACATTTTGCCAGAAAGCCAGAAGTGACTCTGACAAAGCAAACATGTTTTGCAGCTTATCCAACTGTTTTAAAGCTATCTGTTGATAATGCAAAAAACAAAAATGTAATGAGAAAGAAAATATTCAATAATTCTATAAAGAGACGCTTCATTACGGTAATTAAGGCAATCATTTAAAGTAGTTACGAGGATTATTAACACACAAATTAGGCAATGGGGTTATAGCAAACTAGACAGACTTAATACTATTTTACAATGCCTTAAAGAGTAACTTTCAGCAATTTAATAAGCTTTTAAAAATGAAGAGTATTTTTTGGCAAAGGAGCTGCATTTATACCAGAAGGAATATGGTCTCAGTTTTGGGGGAAGGGGATTCAAATTTTGTTTTTTAGATAGGTACTGAGTATTTCTACTGATTTGGCAAATGACCACATCAGCTCATTAAATTATGCTGGCTCAAATATATATTTACCAGAAGCATCCAGTAAACTCACCTCTAGGTAAACCCTAGAGCCACCTGGGTACTACGGTCTCTGCTTCACCAGTTTATATTTTGGTTCACAGTCATGACATTGTAATGTTCTTCACAAGATGTAGAAACTCCCTGGACACTTGGTAGTTTATACTTTGGTAAACCACCACTTTTGAAGATGGGCTTTCTTATAACATCTTTCAATGATTAACAACAGTCTTTTATTTAAACCACTAGCAATCTAACACAGTTATCACCAATGTTAAAAATCATTAGAGCAGAACATATTACTGTACTTTGACCTACATGAGAGAGAAATGAAAGGCATTTATAATAGTAAAACACGTTACAACATCATACTGCAAATACTTTTCTAAGTCATTAGGACTGTTATTTTTTCTGGAAGAATATACATTTTTAATCAGCCCATGACAAATGAAGCATGCATGCCAGGCACTACTAAAGAGACACATTTTTCAAATTCCCCTAATTAGCTCTGGAGCCCAAAGGGTTTTTCTGCATCCTCAGACGTTTCTTTACCCCTCTGCTGTGGTCAGTCCACCATGCGGACTCACTTGTGCCAACGCGGAAGGTGCCGCAGCAGGAGAAATGGGGGATACCCAAGGTGTGACTGACTGAGCTGCGCTTCAGGTGTCCTCTGAGAGCAGGCAAAGCTCTCCAGGACATTCTTGAAAATGAGGCCGCTGGAAAACACGTGTCCTAATGCAGCCTTAAACACCGAAGAGGAGCTACTGGCCACAACAGTGTTTTTTTTTTTTTTTTTCTTTTAACTGAAATTTGGGCAATCTCATGGCATCTTCACTAGTAAGCAATTGTACGTTGGAGCAGTAACAGCTACTGCCCAAACGGTTCTTCCAGGGCTTTGTGACATACCAAATACACTGGTATTTAAAATGATTTTATGCACTTTATAACCTTGTGAAGATGACTGTGTTTTTTGATTCGTTCTGCTTCTTCTCCAGGGCTTTTGTTTCTGCCTTCTCTTGCACGGTTTGCAGTATTTCCTACGTGGTATTTCCACAGGTTTGCTGCACACACTCCCACAGCAGCATGTCACGGAGGATCCTAGCCCTAAAGCACGCCTCTCTGAGACCTAAACTTCCCTCTGTTCCCAAAGGCTCTTTGGACTCCCTTTTAGTAGTTTAAGACGACTACAAAGCATACACCCAGGCATATGCATTTTCAAGGTCTGTTTATTCTCTCCTGCTTTGGCTCCCAAAGTTACACCACCGGGGCTTTGACGCGTTATCCCAGAAGACAAGTGTCCCTCCCGAGCGGGACAGCGGCTCGGCCTGCCGCCAGCTGAGGGAAAAACTCCTGGACTCGGGCAGGGGAGGGGCGCGGCGCCACCCGGGAAAA